ATTTTATTTATTCATTTAATTTTTTTTTTTTTTGAGACAGAGTCTCACTCTGTCACCCAGGCTGGAGTGCAGTGGCGTGATCTTGGCTCACTGCAATCTCTGCCTCCCAGATTCAAGCACTTCTCCTGCCTCAGCCTCCCGAGTAGTTGGGATTACAGGCATGTGCCACCATGCCCAGCAAATTTTTTGTATTTTTAGTAGACAGGGTTTCACCATGTTGGCCAGGCTGGCCTCAAACTCGTGACCTCAGGTGATTTGCCTGCCTCGGCCTCCCAAAGTGTTAGGGTTACAGGCATCAGCCACCACACCCGGCCAATATCTTTATTATACTGAAAGGCTTTATACTCTTCTCATATTTTGAGAAAAATAAATCTAAGTATGAGTCATATCTTACAATAATACTTACATGATTTAGCTTTTTCAAAATTTCTATTTCTGTTTCAACATTGAGAGCAGGGTCCTTTGATAAATAGAATAACAGAGTTTATTAATAATATATTTTAAAAAACATTTACAGTTAAGAAAAAAAAAAAAAAAGAAAAAAAACATTTACAGTTAAACTTAGTTAACTCAAGGCTGCCTGAGTTCCAAACCCAACTCTATTCATACAAAGAAATCAAAGCCCAGAGGTCAATGACTTAAATACTTCACCTAAAATAACTCTGTAAAATGCTTGGCAAATAGTAAGCATTCAATAAATGGCCAGGCCCTGTGCCAAGCTCTTTATTTACAGAGATCATGTCTCATAAGCCTCAGAATCCCCATCTTACAGATGGGGCAACCAAGGCTCAGAAAACAGAAGTCCCTTGCCCTAATCTCCACAGTCAGAAACAAGTATCTTTCCACTGTGTTCATTTTTAATTAGTAAACCCTACTTATTAGCTATGGAACTATTTACATTCATTAAAATGATAAAAGAAACATGAACAAGAAGGTGTTCAATTAAACTGCATAAAGAAAATGTCAAGTCAAATTTCTACTAATAGAGCAGATACAGGTTCCAACTTCAATAGCAGGCTCATATATTTACTGAGACTCTGACAAGAGGCTTCAGGGTACTAAAGTTGTTCTGTTACAATTCCAAAAGGATGAATCAAGTAACTCAACTTCCTGGGCTACACCCTCCACAAGCAAAGGGCAGATAGAATTACATATTTATGTAAAATGAACTTCAGCTAAGAAACCCAGATGTTTAATTTTAAGAGCCTGCCTCTTCCTGTAAGCTGCTAAACTCATTACCAAGTCAGGGTATACTCTGATAACAGAATGGTCACAAAGGGTCCAATCTGATTCAAATAATGAAATCAAAACATAAAATTTTACTCCCAGTTTTTAACAATCTAGTTGGTATTTTCTTCTCCCCTAAATGGGAAACAAATCTTACAATCATAGGGAAAAAGATCTATAACAAAGTGAACACAAAAAGGAAATTCCTTTTGCCATGTGAGAATGGCATTGTTTAGGGGGAAAAAAATTGATCTTTAAAGAATGTGAAAGTATAATAGCCAGAAACAGCTGGCCAAAAGGGAAAATGTGATTAGAGGCTGTGTTTTACATTACTTTTTTGAGTCACATGTGGAAAGACCAATGCATTTGGCCATCTCTCCCACACAGTAAATGTGGATTAAAAAAAAGTAGTAAAATAAATGACTGCTATAAAGAAAGGCTATTTCAATGATTTAATTAAAAATTTAAAAATCTACGGCTAATCCACAAACCAAGGATACTCACTGCCATATTACCCAGAACAGCAAATAATAAGAAATTGTCTAAATGATCAGCCAAAGAAATGGTTAAATTACAATAAAGTTGATGACATGAAAACTCAGTCATCAAAAAGGATGTATTAGGCAAAAGTCTATGCCATAATGCATTTGTAGAAAAGCAAAATACAAAACTGTACATACAAGATGATTTCAACCATCTAAAAACACGATTTCATCTGAACAAAACCTAGAAGGAAAAGGAAAACTGAAAACAGCTGTGGAGTTACAGTGGGGATTATGGCTGAATTTTTTTCTCTAATTTCCTGTCATTTATTGTAAAAACAATCTTGTAACAACTTTGAACTTGGAAGAAGAAGAAAAAAAAAAAACTTCCCGCTATGCTCATTATTATGTACAATTAAATACTTTTGGAACCGAATCATCTATAAGTAAAAGTTTCTAGATTAATCAAAGATGCCCCCAAATTTTCCATGTTTTTTGATACTCACAAATTCATCCATCTAAGCAGGGGGTATTCCTGAGTTTGAAAATCATCAAGCTAAGATTATTTTGGGAAGTTATGAAGACATGTTAATAAAAGGTGAGCAGCCTTTTGTTGGTACTTACTGTCTCTCTTGCTGAACCAATAGCAAACTTCCTTTTGCTGATGATCTTTACGGCTACTTTCTTACATGTTTTCCTCTCGAAAGCCAGCTTTACCTCTCCACAGGCACCACTAGAGGGAAAAACAAAGACAGTGATTGTCTGAATGTTTTTAATTATGAGACCTACCACTCCTGGGTCCGCTTCGAGTATTAGAATTTACAGACATTCCATATAACAACCTTTCCATTGTCCCTGTTTGCAGAGGACACAGTGAAACTTCACCAATGTAAAATGTCAAGGGCTTAACAGCCAAAAACACTAAGTCAGCTCCAAATTCCATTTCTGAGCTGAGTGATACAAACATGTGTCTTACTGCAGCCCTGGATTGTGAAATTCCCAGAAAGATACTAAGAGAAAAATGAGAGAGAAACTACTTATCCGAGAGGTCAGAAAAACATTAACTAGAGACAACCCTCCCTGGTCATGAGTGCCCCAAACAAATAACAGTAAACAGAATCTGCAAATGAATAACTTTAATGGATATATTTCTTTCTTTCTTATTCTCCATCTTAAAAGGAAGTGCATAAGCAGTTGACAGCATGAGTTGCACCCTAAATCAAATCTGATTACCTAAGAAATCAAAAGTATTACACAATTAGCCTACTTGCAGCAACCTCTCACAGAGATTTGCAGTTAATTGGGATACTACTCATGGAAGAGGAATGCTCTCCAAGCCATTACCCAGAACACAGTTAATCCTGAGTAGGATCTGTCCTCCAAAGCTTGGGTCAGCCCAAGAGAATGGCTACTAGGGCATCAATTATCCATTATGAAGTAGACTATTATAACTATTGTGGGTTTCGAACGGGCAAGTTGAGGGTTTACCAAGACATCTTTTTTATTGTGTTAAATATACATAACACAAAATGTATCACTGTAATCATTTTAAAGTATACTATTCAGTGGCATTAAGTACACTGCCAATGTTCTACAACCATCAGCATCTAATTCCAGAACTTGCTCATTAGCTCAAATGGAAACCCTGTACCTATAAGCAATTAAGCAGTCATTCCTTACTCTACCCTGTCCCCAGCCCTCAGCCCCCAGCCCCCAGCCCCTGGCAACCACTAATCTGTTTTCTCTATGTATTGATTTGCCTATTCTGAATATTTCATATCGATGAAATCATACAATATGTAGCCTTTCGTGTCTGGATTCTTTCACTTAGCGTAATGCCATAACATTTGTGGTACGTCATTCCTTTTTACAGCTGAATAATATTCCATTATATAGAAGTATCATATTTTGTTTATCTATTCACCTTCTGATGGACATTATTTGGTTTGTTTCTACCTTTTCTAAGTAGTTTCTTCAATATGACAACAAAAGCTTAAGCAACAAAAGAAAAAAAATAGATAAACTAGACTTCTTCATTGTGACTAAAGCTGCTATGAACGTTCATGTACAAGTTTTTGTCTGAACACTTGTTTGCTTTTTTTTTTTTTTTGAGGTATAGGCTCGATCTGTTGCCCAGGCTGGAGTGCAGTGGCACAATCTCAGCTCACTACAACCTCCGCCTCCTGGCTTCAAGCAATTCTTGTGCCTCAGCCTCCTGAGTAGCTGGGATTACAGGTGTGTGCCACCTCGCCCAACTAATTTTTGTATTTTTAGTAGAGACAGGGTTTCACCATGTTGAGCAGGATGGTCTCGAACTCCTGACCTCAAGCGATCCACCCACCACACTCTCCCAAAGTGCCGGGATTACAGGCGTGAGCCACCGTGCCCGGCCTGAACACTTGTTTTTTAAATTGGGGAATTTATAAACCTAGAAGGAAAATTTCTGGGTCACATGATAATTCTGTTTACCTTTTTCTGTTATTGTTTGTTGTTGTTATTTATGCCTCATAGAGCTCGGATGTTTACCTTTTTAAGAAATCACCAAACTATTTTCCACAGCGGCTACACCATTTTACATTCCCATTATCAGTGCACAGGGGTTCCAATTTCTCCACATCCTCACCAACAGTTACTATTTTCTGTTTCCTTATTATGGTCCCTAGAAGGTAGCTGTGAAGTAGTATCTCATTGTGGTTTTGATTTGTATTTCCCTAATACTAATGATATTCAGCATCTTTTGATGTGCTTTTTGACCATTGTATGTCTTCTTGAGAGAAATGTCTATTCAAGCCCTTTGCCCATTTTTTTTGTTTTGTTTTTAGAGACAGGATCTCACTCTGTCACCCAGGCTGGAGTACAGTGCCTTTGCCCATTTTTAAATGGCAGGTTGTTTGTTTTTTTATTGTAGAATTCTAAGATGTCTTTATCTATTGTGGACATAAGCCCTTATCAGATATAGGGCTTGCAAATATTTTATCATTCTGTTGGTTGTGTTTTCACTCTCTTGATAGGTATCTTTTGAGACACAAAAGTTTTTAATTTTGTTTAAGTCTAATTTATCTATTTTTTCTTTTGTTGCTGTGCTTTTGTGTCTTATTTAAGAAACCACTGCCAAATACAAGGTCATGAAGAGTTGTTCCTATGTTTTCTTCCCAGAGTTGTAAAGTTTTACCTCTTATATTTCATTCTTGGTTCCACTTTGAATTAATTCTTATGTATGGTATGAGGTAAGGGTCCACGCAACTGTTCTTTTTTAAATCAGCTCAAAGCACTTTCCAATTTCCCTTCTCCTGGAAACAGTCACTCTTTGCCCAGGAATTCCTCCCTGAGTTCATGCAGCTCTAGCTGGGGGTCTACTGTGGCACAATCCCTACTCCTAGAAACACACGATAGCTACATAACCAAAACTGAGCTGGAACAGTGAGCCGTGATCATTCATGCCACTGCTCTCCAGCCTGAGAAACAAAGCAACACCCTGTCATTCATTCACACATACAGCCAGAGTTGCCCTTGAAATCAAATGCTGACATTGGGAGAGAGAGTTCTCTCTGCTGTAGTTTCTAGACAAAGAAAATATCAATCTGCACTTCCTGGTAGCCATTTTTCCTGCCACATAGAACAATTCTATAGGAAGGCAACAAACAGACAAATCAAGAGATGGAGCTAGAGCCCTGGTGACGCTGTGAGAGCTCTCAGATGCAGTCAACCAGACCATCAGAACTCAAAGACCATGAAGTAAAAGCCTAAAGACCTCCTAGATCCAGCCATGCCTGAAGTAAGGATTTGCCTGTTCTTTTTTTTTTTTTTCCCCCTTTTTTTGAGACAGAGTCTTGCTCTGTCACCCAGACTGGAGTGCAGTGATGCCATCTCAGCTCACTGCAACCTCTGCCTCCTGGGTTCAAGCGATTCTCCTGCCTAAACCTCCCAAGTAGCTGTAACTACAGGCATATGCCACCACACCCAGTTAATTTTTATATTTTTAGTAGAGACGGCGTTTTACCATGTCAGCCAGGCTGGTCTCAAACTCCTAACCTCAAGTGATCTGCCTGCCTCGGCCTCCCAAAGTACTGGGATTACAGGCGTGAGCCACTGCGCCCAGCCTGGCTCTCTATTTCCCAGTTACAAAAGCCAGTAAATTTTTTATCTTACCTGACTCATTTGAGTTGAGTTTCTGTCATTTGCTACAAGTTAGAGAATTCATATTAAATCCTCCCTTAGGAAAACATCGAGTTCCATACATTTCTTCTTTTACTTTTCCCCCTTCTGAGATATGGTCTCACTCTATCGCCCAGACTGGAATACAGTGGCATGATCACGGCTCACTGTAGCCTCCACCTCCTGGGCTCAAGTAATCCTCCCACTTCCACCTTCCAAGTAGCTGGGACTACAGGTGCAGCCCACCATGCTCAGCTAACTTTTTCTATTTTTTTCTAGAGACAGGATTTCACCCCGCTGCCCAGGCTGGTCTCGAACTCCTAAACTCAAGCCTGCCTCAGCTTCCCAAAGTGTTGGGGTTACAGGCATGAGCCACCATACCCAGCCTCATACTTTTTTTTTTTTTTTTTGAGACATTGTCACTCTGTTGTCAAGGGTGGAGTACAGTGACGCGATCTCGGCTCACTACAACCTCCCCCTCCTGGGTTCAAGCTATTCTCCTACCTCAGCCTCCCATGTAGCTGGGATTATAGGCATGCTCCACCACACCCGGCTAATTTTTGTATTTTTAGCAGAGACGGGGTTTCACCCTGTTGGCCAGACTGCTCTTGAACCCCTGACCTCAGGTAATCCACCCGCCTCGGCCTTCCAAAGTGCTGGGATTACAGGCGTGAGCCACCAATGGGCACCAATGGGCATGGTGGCTCACACCTGTTATCCCAGCACTTTGGGAGGCCGAGGCGGGTGGATCACCTGAGGTCAGGGGTTCAAGACCAGCCTGGCCAAGAGGGTGAAACCCCATCTCCGCTAAAAATACAAAAATTAGCCGGGTGTGGTGGTGGGCACTTGTAATCCCAGCTACTCGGGAGGCTGTGGCAGAGAATTGCTTGAACCCATGAGGCAGAAGTTGCAGTCAGCCGAGATCTCGCCACTGTACTCCAGCCTGGGCGACAGAGCGAGACTTAGTCTCAGTAAAAAAAAAAAAAAAGAAAAGAAAAGAAAAGGTTTGACAGTGAGATTTCAAGCAACCAGTGCAAATATGGAAACACAATCAGTTACTGAATTCAGTATCAGTAAACTAAAATTTTGCCCATATAATAAAGAGGATACTGTGCTTGACTATGTTGCAGGAATATGGAGGATTATTTCCTTTTATGTACTTTCTACTTCTGTGTTTCCAAAAATATCAGTAGAAAGACCTTTGTGAGAAGGGAAGGGGGTTGAAGAGCATTTTGTAATGTGGTAACAGTATCCTGATACTTTCCTAAAGAAATGGTTCTCAAAGTATGACTGGATCTCCCCAAGAGGACCCCAAGGCCTTGCAGGGCATCCACAAAGCCACAACTATGTTCAGAATAATACTAAGACATTATTTGTGTTTTCCATTCTCATTAGCTCATACATATGGAGTTTTCCAGAGGCTACGTGGCATGTGACAACATAACAGACTGAATGAGGAAGCAAATATCAGAATCTAGCCATCTTCTAACTAAGCCAGATGTCAAAAAAATTTGGAAAAATGTCGAATAGTTCCTCTCTTCTCACTAATCTTTTTAATAATTATTTTTCATAAAAAAA